GTGGCTAATTTAGCGCCTAAATATGAGCATGTTTTACTATGCGGTGACTTCAATATAGATCTGATAAACAATGACAATAGATCCAACGATTTGATAGATAGATTGGCTTCTGTTGGTTTGCAAGCAATGAACAGATTTCCAACGCGTTTTGCTCCTAATTGTAAGCCAAGCCAACTAGATCTGGTCCGTGTATCGGATTCTGTTAGCATGCTTCACTGCGATCAATTTTCACTTGCTGGTGTATCCGATCACGATATGTTATTTGCATCTTACAATCTGTGTCTTAAAAATGCTGTCCAACCATTCTTTTACAGGGACTTCAAATCTGTCGATATAAATGCTTTAGAATGTGAGGCCAATGCTCTAGATTGGAATACTGCGTGGTTTTTCCCTGATATAAACCAAAAACTGAACTGGTTTACTTCCTTGGTAACGTACCTCTTTGATAAATATATTCCTTTAAAATTTGCAAAAATTCCTAAAAATAAACAGCCATGGTTCACGGGGGAGGTTCTACGCACTATTAGAATGCGCAATAGATTATACACATGTTGGAAGCGCAAACCAACATACGAAAATTGGGAAGTATATCGTGTTGATAGAAATCGTGCCACTTTTGCAACAAAAAATTCAAAAAGGCAATATTATAAGGCCAGACTTAGCGTGGATCTGCCAACCAAAACTCTCTGGAATAATCTGAAGTCCGTGGGCGTAGGGAGTAAAAGCAACCTAGAATGCGATTTAGATGTTAACATCATGAATGAATACTTCCTTCAATCGATCAGTTTGCAACATAGCAGCGAATTCAAACTGGACCAAGGTCTTTTATTTAGACAAAATGAAGAATTTAGTTTCTCTCCTGTAACGGATAACGATGTAATAAGAAGTATCTATTCCATTAAATCGAACGCTATAGGTGTGGACGGTATAAGTTTAAAATTTTTGAAAATGATCCTTCCATACGTAGTTCCAACCGTGACCCATATCTTAAACCTTTCTTTCACTACTTCTACGTTTCCAGACGCATGGAAGATAGCAATGGTTACTCCATTTCCGAAAAAGCACGCAGTCTCTTCACCATCTGATTTCCGTCCAATAAGTATACTGTCCTCGTTGTCCAAGGTCTTGGAAAAGCTAATGGTAAGACAGATAGTTGGCTACCTTGATGAATATAAACTCCTCACGGTGTATCAGTCTGGGTATAGAAGTAGCCACAGCTGTGCTACAGCTATTTTGAAGGTAACTGAGGATATAAGACCAGCATATGACAGGGGTGAGCTAACAGTTTTAGCTCTGTTAGACTTCTCCAAGGCCTTTGACAAGGTTGATCACAGTATACTCCTGCTAAAGCTAAAGAGATATTTTGGATTTTCTGATGGCGCCGTAAAATTAATGGAAAATTATCTTACAAATCGTTGGCAGAAAGTTGTCGCTAAAAACGTGGGCTCTGAGCTAAAGAAACTACATTCGGGAGTGCCGCAGGGGTCTATACTAGGTCCAATCCTACTTAGTATTTTTATCAATGATATTGCTAACTGCTGTAAAAGCGTATCCTTTCATTTGTATGCGGATGATGCCCAAATTTATCTCTCGCCCTATAGGACTTTTTGAAGACTTAATAGCTAGAGTCAGTGAAGATCTTCACTCGATATCTGTTTGGGCAAAGCTTAATAACAAGGCGAATTTATATAAGGTGGCGTTGTTTCATCAGCTGTGAGTAGCGTTTGGTTGTCAAAATTTTGAATTTCGTTAGTGAGTGAGTGAAAACGTGAGAGTGTTTGCATTTTCTGTCGCCCTTTTTCATTCGGGGAAGAATAGCTGAAATTTGACAATGGCCCGCTAAAAGCAAAAACAAAATACAAGTAATTGTTGTATTTGTTCAATCGATACCACCTTGTATGTATTCGCCTTGCTTAATAATTTGAATTTAAATTCAACGAAGACTAAAGCTATATGTATCTCACCCCATTTAAACTCGCAAGATTACATTCCATCATTAGCCTTACAGACAAATTTGAACCAGTTGTTACAAGTCTTGGTTATAAAATTAACTCACATTTAGGGTGTACTGACCATATAAACTCCACTTTAGCAAAAATATATTTTGTACTAAGAAAGTTATGGCGCACGGCGGACTTTGTACCCAAATTACGGTTGGTAAAAATATTTATAGTTCCACTGATTTCGTATGGTGAACTCGTTTATGGTCAAATGGACAGTACAAGTGAGCGGAAACTGCGAATGGCGCTAAATAATTGCGCAAGATATGTATTTTCCAAGCGCAAGTTTGACCACATTTCACAGTGTAGCTATAAAATACTCAACTGTAGCGTGACTGTTTTCTTAAAATATCGTAGCCTTTTATTTCTGCACAAATTGATACATAAAAAACCCCGGAATACCTTTTTAAAAAATTAACTTTTGCGCGTTCAAGTAGAACATGCAGCCTCATTGTACCAAGGCACAATTTTCTTGTTTCCTCGAGAATGTTTTTTGTCAGTGTTGTAAAAACATGGAATTCCCTACCGATATGTTTAAAATCCATTGAGAATGCTAGGCGCTTTAAATCAGAGGTTTTTTGAATACTTTAAGATCTAAACCTTATTAACTCTTAATAATATAACCATTATATTAAACAATTTTATTGGGCCTGATATGAAAACTTGGTGCGGAAAAGCAACAATAATTTACATATACATAGTTAGAAGCTATAGCTGCTATTTCGGTGTGCTCGTCCTTTTAGTTATTTAGTTTTAATTACACAGTGATACAAAAGTAAACAAAAAAATATGCAAGGGTTCTCATATAGAAAATATGTTTTGTTATAGCCCATAGGACACGACTATACTTATAGTTTTCTCCATCACTTCGTTTATTAGTTTTTTACTAACAAATAAATTAAATCTTTAGTATTCTTCAAGTTACAACTTCAAGAAGGTATAACTTTGTCGTTTTTGGTCGAATTTAAAATGTTTTACCTCTCTAACAAAGAAAAAATTTTGAAAATCGCCCGGAGAAAGGCTTAAATTGTTTATAATGACTTTTGCTAAAATTTAAAATCAAAAGTTATCAAAACAAAATCTATGGGACTGAGAATTATTATTTTCTACTTTTTAGTCCATTTATAAAAGCATTGTATATTTAAAAGAATTATTATTTTCTACTTTTTAGTCCATTTATAAAAGCGTTGTATATTAAAAAGTTTTTTTTTTATTATTTATTTTCTACTTCTTAGTCTTGTCTGTATAAAATTTTGCAATAGATATTAAAATATTTATTTTCTACTTTTTAGTCAGTTATACAGACAAAAATTTTGCAATATATATTAAAATAATTGAACGATATTAATATGTAAATTGGTACACACACATGCATATGAGACATTCTTTTTCATATCGGACAACAAATTTGATGTCACTCTTCCGATTGGCTTCAAATTTTTTTATGGGTTTGTTTGTTTGTTTGTTTATTCATTCATGTTGCTGGCTGTACATACGACTATTGTCTTTTAAGCACATCATATTTTATACAATAATATACAATATTTTCGCTAACCTAGACTAAATTTTTTCGCACAAATTCATTCAACAGATTAAACTAATTTAGATAAAAGTAAAAATTCTTTCAACAGATTAAACCAAATTAGATTAAAGTACAGTCTCATATGCATGTGTGTGTACCAATTTACATATTAATATCGTTGAATTAATTTAATATATATTGCAAAATTTTTGTCTGTATAACTGACTAAAAAGTAGAAAATAAATATTTTAATATCTATTGCAAAATTTTATATAGACAAGACTAAGAAGTAGAAAATAAATAATAAAAAAAACTTTTTAATATACAATGCTTTTATAAATGGACTAAAAAGTAGAAAATAGTAANTTTTTAATATACAACGCTTTTATAAATCGACTAAAAAGTAGAAAATAATAATTATTTTTAATATACNTTTTCAAAATTTTTTCTTTGTTAGAGAGGTAAAACATTTTAAATTCGACCAAAAACGACAAAGTTATACCTTCTTGAAGTTGTAACTTGAAGAATACTAAAGATTTAATTTATTTGTTAGTAAAAAACTAATAAACGAAGTGATGGAGAAAACTATAAGTATAGTCGTGTCCTATGGGCTATAACAAAACATATTTTCTATATGAGAACCCTTGCATATTTTTTTGTTTATTTTGTATCACTGTGTAATTAAAACTAAATAACTAAAAGGACGAGCACACCGAAATAGCAGCTATAGCTTTTATCTATGTATACGTAAATTATTGTTGCTTTTCCGCACCAAGTTTTCATATCAGGCTCAATAAAATTGTTTAATATAATGGTTATAAAGAGCATAAATAACAAAAAGGATGTTTTTTTTTGTTCTATAATAGCTAAACGGTTGGTATTCTATAGTAACTTTGGAATCAAGAAATCAGGATTGATTAAAGAATATGATGGAACGGATTTTGGAAACCAGAACAAAATAAGATTTGAATATTAAAACAAACAAACAATTAACTCATATAATTTGAATAGTTTTAAAATAAATTTCTAAATCAAGGCGGAAAATTAATTTAGGCACTAATACATACATATTTAGTTTAATTCGCACNATTCTCAGTCCCATAGATTTTGTTTTGATAACTTTTGATTTTAAATTTTAATGGTTATAATGAGCATAAATAACAAAAAGGATGTTTTTTTTTGTTCTATAATAGCTAAACGGTTGGTATTCTATAGTAACTTTGGAATCAAGAAATCGGGATTGATTAAAGAGTATGATGGAACGGATTTTGGAAACCAGAACAAAATAAGATTTAAATATTAAAACAAACAAACAATTAACTCATATAATTTGAATAATTTTAAAATAAATTTCTAAATTAAGGCGGAAAATTAATTTAGGCACTAATACATACATATTTAGTTTAATTCGCATACAGGAGAAACTAATTTATATTTATGGTATATCTCAACAATTATTCACCGTAATCTACTTCTAGGGTATTCCACAATGGGTTGTTATCCGTTTTGAAGAGCCACAGTCAATAAGCAAATTTTTAATACAGTTTCAAGGTGGTTTTGCAGCTAAAGCCGTATCAGCTTCCGTGCAAGCTAGGAATGGAGAACTAATCGTAGAGGAAACCTTTTACCCGGAGGATGTTAATTCACCACAAACTTTTCTATTGAAGGCGCCTGTAACAAAGAAAGAAGCGTCGAAAATGAAATTGCTATTTCCGTCAAGTACTGACTTTTTCGGTAGAATAATTGTGTATAAAATTGAAATATATGAATAATAAATACATATCGCCCTATCGNCAATGGGTTGTTATCCGTTTTGAAGAGCCACAGTCAATAAGCAAATTTTTAATACAGTTTCAAGGTGGTTTTGCAGCTAAAGCCGTATCAGCTTCCGTGCAAGCTAGGAATGGAGAACTAATCGTAGAGGAAACCTTTTACCCGGAGGATGTTAATTCACCACAAACTTTTCTATTGAAGGCGCCTGTAACAAAGAAAGAAGCGTCGAAAATGAAATTGCTATTTCCGTCAAGTACTGACTTTTTCGGTAGAATAATTGTGTATAAAATTGAAATATGTGAATAATAAATACATATCGATATCTGAGTGGAAGATCGGCCTGTCTCGGAATTTGGCTGAAGAACGCCCTATCCCAGCTGAAAATACATTGAAAATGTGCTGAGATAGGGCGTTTTTGAACCGAATTCTGAGATAGGTTTTTTAATAAAATGGGCGTTCTTCAAGTATTGAAAAGTTTTCTGAGATAGGACGTTTTTGAACTGGCTGCCGAGATAAGTCGATCTCCCACTCAGGTGTGGATATGTAGTCTTTCTTTACTAAGCCAGGGAGGCAATCCAGTCATCAGTGCACCGAGAGTTTTGGACTTTCATATTAAGTACTTCTCCAACTGGGTACCATTATTCCGCTCTCAGTGAATTTGACAAAATCGCTGTTTGTATGACGTCACACTTGTGCAACTTGTTTACGGGTTTTCTTGCAAAATTTCGTCTTCCATTCTTGCTCGCCTTTCTCTCGCAAATGCACCAGTGTGACGTCACACACAAATCCTCTCTGATGGGCGCAATCTTTGTTTTCTATCATTCTTGTACACATCTAATATAGAGGGATGTTACATTGAAACCACCAATGTAAACAAAACCGTTTGCGTTCCCACGGCAGCCGGGTCTACGTGACCGCAACGACCCACATCTGGCCCAAGAATGATAGAATACAAGATTGCGCCGATTGCAGCAGAATTCGTGAGAGCAATTTTAGCGTGACATCTGTAGGGTTTAATACTTTAAGCTTTATTTACCTGTTTATTTGTTTAATTTAATTTAATTTTGTTCATGACTATGGTTGAAAATATCAATATGAGAATTTGCTTTCATTCAAAAATTTTCTTCATTCAAATAAACATTTAAAAATTGGAATAACATATTCTAACTCTACATATTGGCGATCCTGCTCATCGAATAATTATACAAGTTATAATAATTGCATCGTTTACAACAATTTATGTCTGCAATAAGTTACGTCATATCATCATTTAATCATCTCTTAAGCAAACGTTTCTTTCCACAATCATGTATAACACGAATTCCAAAGATCATTAAGAGTAAATATATATATAAGTGCAACAATTGCGAGAAGGTTTCAGAACTACATCATCAACAACTTCAAAAGCAGTTTGCACATCAACAATTTCAATATATCAAAATTTTCACAAGCTGTACAAGTGCAACAAGGATCTATAACAATAATAGCCATAGCAGTTGCAGTTTGCAAAACTAACAAGCTCAAATACACCAATGAAGATTTTTTTTTAAATTTTGGCCTCNCAAGTGCAACAAGGATCTATAACAATAATAGCCATAGCAGTTGCAGTTTGCAAAACTAACAAGCTCAAAGACACCAATGAAGATTTTTTTTTTAATTTTGGCCTCTACGTATCGTCGTTTAAAGTAAAAAACAGCGTATCGTCATTCTGCAAAACCGCGTAACTGACATTGGCTGCCAAAAATTGGATTTGCTCACACAAGCTCTTGGCTCAATCCTTATCCATTCGTCCTGAAATATAATACCCAGAAATGCGATTGCTTTATAAAAAAGAGAACCATTTTGAAATATGAGTGTTTTTATGCTCTAGAAAATAATTTCTACAATTTCACATACGCGGTTTTGCATTGTGCTGATACGCGGTTTTGCTTTTTAAACGACGATATGTATCTTATTGAAGCAATGAGCGTTCAATTTCATTCGTTCAGACTTGGTGAGCTGTATTGTTTATATTTTTAGATTAAATATAACTTAAGTATTAATTTGTATTTTAAAGATAAGATTGCAAGATATTTTCAATATAAGTTCGTATCTTAAGTTTTTCGTTGACGTAATATCTTAATTACATATATAANAGTGTTTTTATGCTCTAGAAAATAATTTCTACAATTTCACATACGCGGTTGCATTTTGCTGATACGCGGTTTTGCTTTTTAAACGACGATATGTATCTTATTGAAGCAATGAGCGTTCAATTTCATTCGTTCAGACTTGGTGAGCTGTATTGTTTATATTTTTAGATTAAATATAACTTAAGTATTAATTTGTATTTTAAAGATAAGATTGCAAGATATTTTCAATATAAGTTCGTATCTTAAGTTTTTCGTTGACGTAATATCTAAATTACATATATACATTTTTTAATATTTATTACATTATTTTTTGACTTTAATAATTTATTAAAAACAATATTAACAAACTTATTACATTATTTCTTAATATTAAGTATTTCTTATTGGTATTAATATTGTGGAAATTATTTCTCTTGTACACTCCTTTAGATTTTAAAAATTCGTCGATCACCTATACGTACACGCAACTTCTCAACAACAGAAAACCAAAATGAAAATCAAACTCGCACCTCAGATTTAAACACTACACAAAATATAAATTCTAACAGTTCGACACAAAATGAAAATAACTTTAGTTCGAATATTTCAAAATCTATTAAATTACCTCATTTTTGGGAAGATTGTCCCGAAGCATGGTTTCTGCTTGTAGAAGGACAATTCGAAATTAATAATATATGTGATGATAATATCAAATTACAAAACATTTAGATTGTTCTTCAACGAGAAACGATTTCAAAAATTATTGATGTTAAATATCAATCAAGGAATGAAACCGAAACCCAAACCGAAACCGTAACCGTTTAAAACCGTTTCGTTTTTCAAAACCGAAACCGAAACCGTAACCGTTATCTTGACCTGAAAAGGAACGATACCGAAACCATTTCAATCACAGGTTTCAATCGGTTTCCAGAAATTTACAAAAATAATAAATAAAAATTTCTTTGAAATAAATGATTTATTTAACCAAAATCAGCAATATTTTGCTAAAATTCTTGTTAAGTAGTAAATAAGTATGGCAAGGTAACTTTTCGCAAAAAGCTACTAAAATGGTGCCTAATAAATTAAATCTCCGATCTGACATCGGTTATTTGGAAGAAGGTCATTTTGATTTTAATTTTCACATGTATAGTTGTAAAGGACACAGAAATGAAGGGGTTTCATAATTATGTAGTAAATATATGACGAAAATAACAATTATATTTTAGTTTTCATACACCTTTAGTTTTACAGCAAAAAGGAAACATTTAAGTGAATCTGGTGATGACGTTGTTGCTGTGTATCTGTGTAGTTTTCAGCGAAAACTGGTTTCGTTTGACAGATTTTACATGGAAGAAAACACAAGGTTTAGGTCGAAAACCAGTTTTAGCAACGAAAACATGTTTCCGATGTCGGTCAGAACATGGTATAAGTGACAAAAACAAGAACAACGTGAATCAGCTGTTTCTCGACTTGTGGGCACGAAATGTGGTTTTCTGCGTTCCCGTACTTCTGGACTTTGTTCCATTTTTGAAAGAAAATGTTTTTCTTATTCTCTAATTACCAAATCCGGTCCGGATTGTTAGGGAAAGAACCTAGTGTTGATATTATCAGGGAACTGTAATTTTCAATTGTCTTTCCTCAACCTTTAAGACATTCTGATTTAAATAATATCAACAAAATTTCTGTGAAAAATCGAAACCGAAATAAATTTTGTAGAACGAAACCAAAACCGAAACCGAAACACTTGGCAAAACCGAAACCCAAACCGGAACGTTATTTTGAATCGGTTTCATTCCTTGATATCAATCCACCGCCATCAACCAACAAATACGAAACCATCAAGAAGGTTTTGTGCGAAAGATTTTCTCTTAGCGAAGAAAAGATACTTGAACAATTATTTTCAAATACTGAACTAGGTGATCGGTCACCATCAGAACTTTTTAGACATATGAAGTCTTTAGCAGGTAAAATCATTTGATTAATAAACCCCAAGGTAGGTAGGTTGTCGCGGTCGTCTATAAGACACACTTAGGCTCAGGGCCCATTGTGATGCTGCATGTTGGGTCAGCAACTCCCAATCCCTCCTAAAACCATTTTGAACTTTGAACGAATTTTAGAAGATCCCTGATTTCGACGCATCTAAGGTCCTCGCAAGTTGTCGAAGAATTGCCTACCGAGAGTGGAGAGTCTTCGTCTAGATAGAGCAGGTTATGACGGATACTAATAATCTAATATTGGACTTATTTAGACTCAGTAGTAGGCCAGTGCGGTTGGCGCTGAGCACCGGCCATAATTGTTTGGCAGTTTTGCAGGTGATTTCGTCCTGCCACCTTTCGTTCGCTACTTTAGTGAGCCTCTCGGAGATAAGTAGCTTACAAGTTTGCAAGGGTATTCCTATTTCGTCATTTATATCCTCAAAAGGAAGTTTCGTGCCAAGTCGCGCCAGTTCGTCGGCCTTACAATTCCCCTCTATGCCGCAGTGTCCCGGAACCCATATTACCTTTGGGCGAAATGACTCAGCCATCTCGTTAAGAGATGCGCGGCATTTCATGGCTACCATGGAGGTTGTCGACTGCTTCGTGAGGGACTTTATTGCCGCCTGGCTGTCAGTGAAGATGTAGATATCAACTTGGGGTATCATATCACACTTTACCAGTTTCGTGGCCCTGTCGATTGCCATCAGTTCAGCCTGAAAAACGCTACAGTGGTCCGGGAGACGAAAGCTGAGGGAGATTCCCAGGTGATGGGAATATACACCTCCTCCAACCCTACCCTCGAGCTTTGAGCCATCTGTGTATACATGGATGGACTCTCCACTACTTACAACGTCATGCTTCCACTCTTCCCTTGAGGGTAGGAGGGTCGCGAACGCTGTAGCGGGTGCAGGTTCCGGAAGTGCATAGTCCACCAATCCGGGTAGCCTCGGAACCTCCGTTAAAATTCTACCGTGACCATAACTGGTATTTGACCACTTATTTAGAATATTCATTCGAATTGCCGCGCCACTTGCGACTTGTTTGGCATGTAGGTCCACCGGAAGAAAATTCAGTAGGGCATACAGTGCCTTGGATGGTGTTGTTCTCATCACACCAGTTATGAGTGTGGACGCAAGCCTTTGAACCTTGTCACTATACCGTGATAGAGAATTGGCCTAACCACCGCCGTGTATAGCCAGTGTATTATTTTGGGTTCCATCCCCCATTTTTTCCCTATTGCTCTGCTGCAGGAATATAGTGCCACTGTTGCT